GATTTTTTGGTTTTTCCTGTATAACTCCAGAACCAAAAGAGCTATATTCGAATTTTTTACATTATTGAATTGATCTCTGAACTTTGGCATAATTCAAACGATACTCTATCTCTCATCGTTTACGAGATCCCCATGTACAGAAACGAATTTGAATAGCCCTGTATATGTATTTGAGAAGTTTAACTTTCTGGAATCCAAATATTGTTTGCTGAAAAACAATTATAGAGAATTATTTGAGCGAAATAAAGAAATTATAGATATAGAAATGCTTGAAAATATACACACCAAAAGAGGTAGACTTATTATAGAAAACTTCCCATTTGAAACAAAAACAACAAATTCAAGTTTCAGGTCCAACCTCAACGGTCATTTCTAGATTATTCAAACTTATGTTATTTCTTTATTTCAAAATATGATTATATTGTTTCACCTAAACAGATTGAAAGTCATTGGTGTTTTAAAAATAATTCTGAACAATTTGTTTGTACAATGGATGATAATAACAAATGGACGTTGTTTTTCGATAACACACATACAAAAATTGTGTCAAAAGGAGTAATCGATGGAAAAAGAAGTTTACCATACATAAAATGTATTGCGAGGTATATATCCACATAAATAAAATCAGAATCTGATCTCGTTACGAATAAAAAACTCAGTAGAAATCAGACAAAAGCTATTTTCTCTATCCTGTATTGACTAAAGGAGTTCTCTTCTAGTATCTGTTTTGAATATTAGATATTCCATTTTGAACAATCGAAATTCTTTTGTAATTAGTCGATTATTTATCTGGGAAGCTATCGGGCAGCTTCACACAAATATACAGAAAGAATATTGGCTTGATTTTATTTCGAATCGGCTTTTTGCTGGGGTAGAAGTAAGTACACTTTTTAGAGTATATTAATTCAGAAACTCTAGTTTAGACTTTGGTTCTTCACTTCAATTATTTGAATTTAATAATCTTCAATTTCAGTCGGAGAAGGTTTTTCTTAACGCCTGTAGATGTCCTTGGGAGCAATTCAACAATACCAACAGGCGGATACTTTTGATGCTTCTTTCAAACTCTATCAGTCCTGTGACAATTTCTTGCCATGGCGTTCTGGATGCGAATTATCCACTGGCAGTCAAGGTGATTGAATAAGGATTTATCTGAATGATATTTCATCTTTTCGTACAGAACTCACATACACCATCTCACCTTATGATTTACGAAACATTCAACAATACCACAACATAAAACATCAGATGGTGGACCAATACCTAATAGTATACTATAAGGCTTGTTGAAATAACATTTTTTTATCAGATTTCTCTGACTGTTAGATAAGGCAATATTGTAAAATGATTTAAGACTAGTAGATAAGGCAACATGTAAAATTAATTTAAGGCAATTAAGACGCAAGTACCTAGCCGAGGTATCTATGGTATAAATAAGGACAATATTGTATGTAATTCAGTTTATTCTTCCTCTTGAAAATGATCAGTTGGTGATCGTGTCGAGGTGTTAAAAATAACGGTTTAGTGTTGGGATGAAACTCCAGTAATATTCTTTACTACACCAAAAGTTCCAAACAGTGCATCACAAATTTATTATTATATTGTTCAAGTTTTCGAGAAATTGATTTTTTTTTCATCATTCTGTTTTCAATGAAGTGACTCATGACTTTCAGAAACTCTCCTTTTCTTGTTTGACAATTAGAACTTTGCGAAATCAATAGATTGTGCCATATATTTTGAGTAGGTGTATTCTGCTGGAAAGTTACAAACGTTATTTTGAAAATAATAGCATAGAAAACAATTTCTATATTGGCAGAACCTACAATTCCTTTATATTTCGATGACTTCTATAAGGTTGTTTCAGAAGATTGGTCCGTTTTCATAATCCGATCCAAAAAAGGATCGTTTTGGTTGCGCAAAAGCAAAGAAGAACAAACCTCGAAACGTGACAGTTTCTATGCCATTGTGTGTGACTTGTCAAAGGCCTGCGATAATGTCCCGCATAGCATTTTGTTGAAAGAGCTATCTGAATATATGGAATACGTGGATCAGCTTACCATCTTATGAGAACAATTATGAAAGGAAGACAACAGTAAATATCGTACAAGGCTGAAATCTTCAAGATTAAACAAACAGAACATGGTGTTCACCGGGGTTCAGTGCTGTGGCTACTGTTGTTTATAATCTATATAAAAGATCTGCCAAATTTTCTTGATACTGCAGATGTCTTCATGTACGTAGATGATTCGTATTTTGCAGGGCCAATGGTCCACAAAGATATGGATCAATTCTTGAAAAAATTACTGTTTTCTGAGCCACTTTACAACATTGGAGATATTTTTCCCATGTTTGAATATTTTGTAACTATTTGAGGTCAAAAAATTATTTTCTTATCTTTTCAGAGAGATAATGGAATCATTATAGCAATTCATCGAATGTGATGAATTGTTAATTACGTTATATATGTTTTGAATATCATATAGGCAAATCATGAGGCATATTACTTGATAATTTTCATATAACGGAGTTACAAATCAAATCAAATCAAAATGTACTTTATTGTCGAAGATGAAATCTCATTGACAAAGTGTTACTATTCTAAGAAATATGAGATACACAACTCAAAAGATATTGTCGAAGATAAAATATTATCTTATTAGTCAGTGGGCTATGCGTGGAGACTGGCAGTTAACAAATCTAAAGCAAATGAACTTTAAACGTTCAAGCTAGTCTCTATATACCTACACAGTAGGTTTAATGGACTGACGCCTATCAGAAAACAACTACTCCCCTGGCCAATACCACGAAGGGCGTTAGATTATATCACAGAAAATTTCCTGCATATGCCATTGGCAATACAACTGAAAGAGTCGACCTTCAATTCTGGAACGGGCACACTTGCAGACCGGTTTCGGGCTTATTAGCCACTCATCAGTGCAAGATAGTGACCATTGACTTCAGGTCGATGATGGTCACTATCTTGCACTGATGAGTGGCTAATAAGCCCGAAATCTGTCTGCAAGTGTGCCCGTTCCAGAATTGAAGGTCGACTCTTTCAGTTGTATTGCCAATGGCATATGCAGGAAATTTTCTGTGAAGATTCCTGCACTGACGCCTGTTGGATATAATACAACGCCCTTCGTGGTATTAGCCAGGGGAGTAGTTGTTTTCTGATAGGCGTCAGTCCATTAAACCTATTGTGTAGGTATATAGAGACTGGCTTGAACTTTTAAAGTTTATTTGCTTTAGATAAAATATTATTGTCAAAGTGTTATTATTTTGAAGAATATAAGTTATACAAATTGAAAGTAATATTAGAACATTTGGTGATTTCAGCATTTTGGGGTGAAGTAGTCAGAAAATAATAATATATATGCTACATATTGAAATAAATAATAATAATAATGAATATTCTCATGCAACACATAAATGTAAGTATAAGAATATAAAAACTATAAAGCATAAAAATATAAAAGTGAATGCATACAA